ATAAAAATAAAATAAATAACACCCACCTAAATCTTTTATTTTATTTTATTTTTATTAATAAATATTATTTTTTAATTATTTAATTTATTTTATTATATTTTATTTTAATAGAAAAAATTGAGTAAAATTGATAAAGAATTAAATTGAAAACAATTTTAAGAAAAAAGAGATGAAAATTTAGATTCTGATGATATTTTTGAAAGAAAAATAAAAAATCGAAGGTGAAAACGCAATTTAGAAAAAATTTATCATGTTAGACGTCCGGTCAGTAGCCCCAATCAACCAGGACGTGCCAAGAGACAAAGGCGCTGACGCAGGAGGCCACGCGGGGGGCCACGTGGGCAATCCACGTGCACACAATGGAACGGCTGAGGTCCGGTCCCGCACACACAGACGACATGGATGCACTCCCTCCAAAACGCAATCGAATGGCCAGATTAAAAGTGATTGGACGGCCCAGAGTGAATCGCGATGGACGGTCCAGATTGGATCGCGATGAATGGAACAGATTCACTCCTTATTTAATCGCAATCGGACGGTATAGATCAAACACGATGAACGGCCTAAATAAAAAAAGGATAGATATAAATAACCCTCATCCGCATCAAACCCTAACCCTAGCCGTCAGAACCCATTGTTGGAGAAGACGATCCAGCTGCCGGGGAGCCGACCGCCGCCACTCGTTGCCGCATCGGAACCCTTTCCGACTGTCAAAAAAAGTAAAAATTTATCTTTTTGCACAAAATTCAATTTTAAGCTCACCCATAGCTAAATCGGAGTGAAAGGACCAGCCAGTTGCCCGGAACACACTGGCGAAGCCGCCACAGAAAATTTCATAAATCGCCTTCGATGAGGCCTTTTCCGATTCTCGTTTTGTATAATTTTTCTACCATTGTGATCATCGTTTTTTTCTTTACAGGTTGACCGAAGCAAAACACCCAACTATAACGTGAGCCGGAGGAACCGCCGCATCGGAGAGCCCCGCCACCGGTGAGTTTCAATTTTTCGTATTTTTTCGGCTTACCGATGCCCTATAGCATGTGTGCTAGCAGAAATCGATGTAAAATCGGCTAAATTCGGCCGATCCGAGGCAGATTGCCAACACGGGAAGCGGCGCCGTCGTTGGAGCACGGCGGAGCCACTATCGCCGAAGTACGACGGAGTCGCCTTATCGGATTTTTGAAATTGGCTGAGTGGGCCCTGAGACTAATTTTGGGCTTATTTGGAATATTTGTAGGTACTATAAGCGCATTTCAGTTCCTGGAGAAAAATTCAGGGAACCCAAGGACTGCCCATAGGTGCAGTAAACCGTTTAGCTTTTCGACGTCAAATCGAATAAGGATTCTTCACCCTATTCATTATCATAGAGTTGAAGTCTAAATAAATGATAATATAATATTTTGTACAAATTAAATAAACGTGCATAATTAATTGCGGAGTGCAAATGGAAGCCGAACCAGAAATTGTTCTTTGTTGATTTATTTTACTGTCTAAAAGCATGATAGTATATAATTTATCTATTTTATGGTTTGAATGCATCTATTGCTGTCTTACGTGACTATTGTTTGATTTGGGATTGAGATGTGATTACATTACTTGATGCATGCTTATTTGCTCATATAATTATGTTTGATATAGAAATGAGACTAAAGAGAAACGGAAAAGCTATATGATTAAATAAATAGATGAAACAACACCCTTACTGGATATCCTAAGAGATGATGGACGGATCGGGTATATAGGAAACCCCACCATGACTGTTGTCTCATACCAGACGGGGTATGAAGACTTAATAAATTGGCGCCCATACCGGACAGGGTATGAGGACGACCCGCTTCACCCTCATACCGGACATGGTATTGAGGTTTAAATATTTTGACACTCATACCAGACGGTATATGGAGACAACCCTGTAATTGAGGTTGTTAAAGGAAAGGGTTCAAATGTAGTAGGGACATTCTTATGAACTCCCATGGATACCAGTAGGCTGGTGAAGAGAGAAACAGTTATGATTTGGTTTATTATTGATGGATATAGATTTATGATATGTTCTATATTGCTAATTGTTTACGAAGTTATGATTTGTACGATATTATTGTATTTATAGGTTGTTTTTATAAATTCCATTATGGTAAGTGAACGAGAAATGATTTTATGATTAATAAACGAATTTACTAAATTTAATGCTCTATTAGTGATTTTCAATTTTATACCAACATTTACTTCTATGTTGGTGATATCGTGTGATATCCTTATTGTATCTCATCCTTATTCTAACAATTTTCAGATCAAGAAGACCAGGTTCCAGAGTTTGATATGCAAGAAAATTGCGAGTAGATGCTAGATGTTTTCTATTTACCGTTTTATTTCCTTATTATTGTGTTTCTTTTAATTATGAATTTTGTAACGCTGTTTAGTACTTTTAGTTATTGTGTAAGAAATGTAAACGTACACCTTTTGTTTTGTTTCCACACTTAAATTATTATATATTTCCTCTTAGAAATTTCCGGAGTCGTTATAGATAAATCTATATTTTTACACATCTTAAGAATGGTTTAAAAAATAAATTTAATCGATTGATTAAAATATTAAATTTATAATAATATTAGACATATTTATTATATTATTATTAATTTAAATAATTATTAAAATATTTTTTAATTTATTTTTTTAAATGTCTAAAAATAATTTAATTATATTACTTTTTTTTGTTTAAAATTAAAAAAAAAATAAAACATTTAGAAGAAACGAAAAATATTAGAAATCAAAATTATGATAAACGAAAAAAATTTAAAAATTTCATTAATTTATTTTCATAATTATAGTTTTACTTTTTCATTTTTTAAATATTATCTTATTTTCCAGCTCACCATAAAAAAAGTTTCAATTATTTTCCATTGTTAGGCATAAATGGGGAGTTCTCAAAACTACGGGGAACAATAATTGACAAGCAAAAGTTACTAGTCGAGTCACGTTACATGATAATTAATATTTTTAATTTACGTGACAATCTTTTTTCTCAAGTACAAAATGCATTTTTTTTTTATATAAAAAAATACATATATAATAGAGTTCATTGTATTTAAATTATAATAATTAAAATAAAATTTTCTGATTAATTTTAGAAACGTAATTAATATTATTTTAATGGCGACGGATTAGCAGCCAGCCATATTAATGAACTTTGAATTTGTTCGGTAAAGCTCATAATCTACGTTATTATATGCTTATTAGTCTATTTTATTTTATGCCGGTATATGAACTAATTCTGCAATTAAGGATCGTATTGATTTTAGTTTTAAAAATAATTTACGAGTAGATTGCAATGATAAAAGGAGTGGTAATAAACAATAGTGGTGTGGTAATAGCAAATGTATCCGTAAGGGTTATAATAATGACGGTTGTAATATTATTATTAAAGAATAAAAATACAATTTATAATATTACTTCACAATATTTAATTTAATTTAATTTATTAGTATATTAAATATTATCACGGTAAAATATTATAATTTTGATAAAATAATAAAATTTTGTACCTGAACATTGCATTGAAATGGGAAAAGATTAAATCGAATTATTTTAATATTTCAATTTGATATTTTAATATTATAATAGTTTATACCTTCTGACCATTCTTCTTGAAAATCATTATTTTGTTTATATTCGATAGTTTTTTTTTATATGTAAAATAACAAAAAAATGCCGCTCTTGATGCAAAACAGATACAACAATCACCATCAACTCTGTTTTTTTCCTTCACTAACAGCAAACAGTCCTTGGATTTATACTAATATCAACAGGCGATAACTGATGATCCATAGTAAAAGTTAACTGAAACTAGCGTGATAAGGTTGAAAATCTTCGGATTTCCGCAGCAAACATGGGATCAAATGCGCAAGTTAGTTAATTTGTCCTCACTGTGCCCATTCCATTCTCAGAATGAGATTTTCACAACCATACCCATTCAGTTTGTTGATAGCTCTTTGAGCATCTTCCTTGTTTTGTGCAGCCAAAACCTCTGGTCATGCCAGTCCACTGATCAACCGCAATATAAACGTAACTTACAGCACCCAACGGATGGAACAGCTCCAGTAGATCAGGTTCCCGGGTGTTCTCTGAGAGGTTTGCGACCCTAATGGAGTTTTTATTGTTCATAGTGTCTCATAGCAGTTTGAGTTCTCTCGGCTCCAGCTCTTTGTCCTGGAGGAATATATGTTCCCTTGCTTGCGCCAGATGCATCTGTGGATTCTGACACATCGGGTTTATCAACAAAACCCTCAGCCTGTAGAGCAAGATCCTTGTAAGGGCACCTGGATGTCCAATGATCCTCATTCTTATCACAAGTCAAACATACCATAAGAACTGCACCACCTTTCCCCAGTTGGGCCAAGGAATCTCCAGCAACTTTGGCTTCTTCAGGTTTGCTACCTGTTTCAAAAGCCACTAGTTAATAATAACTGTGATGATCATAAGAAAAATAAGGCATAAGAAAAATAAGGCGGCACAAGGTTCCGCAAGCTGAGGCTAAATGGATATTAGTTGATATTATATACATAATTCAAGCCCTTGAGACAAAGGTTTCCTACCTGAAATAATAGTAAACATTGAGACGGTAAAGAACTAGAAAATTTCTACAAAGCCAAACCAGAAGTTATCATGCATCCACCATTTGTTCAAGCATGTATACACACAAGAAAACCGCACAAGAAAATCATTTCCAGGTCGAATGTTAAACTTATGTCTAAAAAAATCATTGAAATTCATTCTCCATTCGTTCAAAATCACCGAGAAAAGTAATTTCTGTGATCAACTGCAAAAAACATTGAAGAGCACATTGAGTTTTTCATGGACAACAAATCACGAAAAGAAATATAGCAGTGAAATTCAGTGATGAAGCATTATGAATATATACTTTTTATCTCAAGGGAAAGCCCAAAAAAATTGCATAACATTGATAAGAAAATCACAGGATTTATGTGGCAACAAGACCAAATTACAATGGTTGAAACCACAATTTGTCCTGAACTTTATATTTAACCTAACATTGGTAATAAAAGAAAAAAATGATTAATAGCAACGATGCTCAAACCAAAGCTAAATATCATTCTTTATCTAGTTTACTTTCCAATAACACAAAATGGAATGAGAGGAAAGCAAATACTAAACCAAGGGCCTTGCGTTAAGCAGATTTCCTTTCACTCTCTACATGTTCATTAGTTTCACTGAAAGCTTCCATAAATTAATCAGTGTCAAGGACAAAAACTTTCTCACGAGTTATGACCCGGTAAGCTAAATTCATGATAGTAAAAGGAGACCCACAAGAATGGAAGACTAAGGAGGGAGGACCAGACCGGGGACTCTGGGGCGCTCGAGGAGGACTTCATCAGTGGATACCATGGTCAGATTACTACCTACGTCCTCCCGGACAGCGTCACCGAACTTGGGCCAGGACCGGCGTTCAACGGCGCTCTTTCCGAGGCGAGCCTGACGCGCTTGCGGGTGCGGGTGGTGGTGATGACCTTAACCTGTTACCATCTTCGTTGAACCTGTATGTTACCACCTTTTCATGCCGTTCTCATCTGGACCTATCTCCTGCTTTGGTTGGCAGCAGATAGTCTAGGTCTTCTGTGTCGTCCTCCTCCAGCTTCTCCCTCTGCAGGGTCGCCGCCGGGGCCATGCTTTCTGCCAACAACGGTTCCGATTGACAGATTGATAGCGAGTGGCACAGGCGAGTTGGGTTTGGGTTTCGCGACTCCGGGCGTTCCATCGAATACAGGAGGAAGATAGAGGAAACGGCGTCGTATAATCGGCTCTAATTGTCATCAGCGCCACATTACCTTGCTTTTGCTGGACATTTTTCCACCGAATGAAGCGTCGTCGTATTTGGTTCCTTTGGGTTGTCATGGAAAAGTGGTTTTTATTTTATAAAGACAATATATTATATTACAGGGATTCACCTTTTTTTTTTTTTTTTTTTTATAATATTAAAAGTGAATAACTCAAACAGTACCTCCAAATTGCCCGACAGGTATTTATATTGTGGGGGGTACAAAAGGATTCATGATACTATATATGACAAATGCCAAATTGGTCACAACCATCAGCAAAATCTCATCTTTTCAGTTCTATTAAAATGTACAGATTCTATTTTTATATTTGATCTGATTGAGGCATCATTGGCAGATAATAACAAATTTATACAGCTAACCAAACAAAGGATTGCATATAACGAGCGCATGCCGGAAAAGAAGACATTTGAAGAATTTAGTGCCAGTGTAAAATAAAGTGACCAAATAACTAAGAAAAAAAAAAAATTAAAGACTGCAAAAGAATCTCATACCCAAGACAAAGTCAGTAGTCTAGTAAGCTTTCATACAAGATCTTATCTAAAAGAAGATATGATTATCAGAAAATCTGAAGTAAAATACTGTTTGTCTCACTATTGTGGAACCCTGCATTAAGTTCAAAACATAATTTCACAACTCAAATAAAACTCAAGTCAACATTCATTATAAGATCATATCTAAAAAACACATGAAAACCAAGAGAAAACTGAAACTTAAAGGCTGAATTAGCCTCTGGGTTGTCCAAGCTAAGACCTATTGGTTATATTGTTGATTAGAGGGGAAAAAATGCTCTCAGTACCTGAAGTAAACAGGCATTACAACAAAAGAAATCATATATGTATAGAGCTCGAGCTTGTGGGTAAGAAATGGAAACCAAGTAGCCAAGGAATAAAGGAGTGCATAAATGAATTCTTTTTCACAGTTCAAAATAATTGTGTATGTATAAATTCCAAAAAACAAAACCTAGAAAATGAAGAATCCAAATGCACGTACTCTCTATTGCACACATTGCCAACACATCAAGTGAACATTTATCAGAAAATGCACTGAACCTTGGTTGACATGACCCAGCTTACCAGATTTTCCAGACAAGAAAACCCACATTTCATACCAAAAATCACACCATAAGAGAGAGCTTGCAAAGAAAATAGGTCAAAGTGATCTCCCTATCTCATTGCATACACCAGAAACAAAGTCAATTGAACAACTGAAATGCAAAGAAACTTACACAGCCAGAGAAAATAAAAGCAAGACCAACCAATTCACTTTTAATACAACACCCAATCAACCGCCGCCACCACCACCACCACCACCACCACCACCACCACCCCCAACATTTCAATCCATAGTAGACAGACAGGTGGCTTATGCTGCCACAGCAAGTGCAGCCAAGCCAGCATCATTGGTGGCAGTAGCACTAGTGGCGGTCCTCTGCGGGGCTCCCCATGGTGTCATCTTCAGCAACATGTTCCTTACTTTTATCAGATTTCTTGGAGCCCTTTTCACTTCTAGAAGATTTTTCTGATTCATTCTCCTCTCCTTTCGCTTGTTTCCCTGCAGGACTACAGAAACATATGCTTTTCCACTTCATGGCTGAAAACCAAATTACCAGTAGTGGAAAACCAACCTTCTGATCTTCCTTCAAATCAGCTTCTCCCCACTATAAGAGAACACGAAAAATGTTCCACAACCTTTACGAACTGAAATGGTTGTCTATCCAATAACCACTAACTTCTCCAAACACGGCCTTCTATCTCATGAGTTTAAATCATTAGTTATAAGCCAACATATTTTATATTCACTAACAAAATATGTCAGCATCATCGACTAGTTGCAAAAAGCCAGTGCCAGTACATGTGCAAGAAAAATTTATGTTACAACAAAATCATTGAGCACAGCTAAGACATGTCCTGTCTGGTCAATACGTACGAAGTTAAATGATGAGAAATTGAAAAAGTTTTAAGCAATGTAAAGGCAGAGATACTTTTTTAAAAAAATTAAAGTTGGTAAATGGAGGGAAAAAAATGAGTGATAAATTTTTATAGATTTTCCAAAGGCATGCATGGGTGAATTGAAGGATGATATATTCTATGAGTTTTCACATCTTAGACAAAATGAAGTTTAGTAGCTAACATCAAGGGCACAGGCCGTTGTGTAAAATGTTTATAACAGAAGTAGATGCTAACTCTAGAACAATTAGTTGTGTGAACATGATTAGAGAATTGGCCCGATCAATTATCAAACTAAAGTAATCTTGAGAACATATACTTCATTCAATTATACACAATATTATTATTGAATAAAATTCTAAGTCAAATTATTATGGAATTACCATGGATACAATTTTTAATTCACTCGAAGCAAGCAATATAGTTTATTATATAAAATAAAAAAAAAATATATAATATGGACAAAAAAATAAAATATGCAGTTCAACAACAAGGAGGCCACCAAATTCAAGAATTTAGAGGGACAATCAAGTTGATCTCTTGATGTCCTCTATTTGTACATATGAATTATTTTTCGTAATAAGGAGAGATGGAGCTATTAGTGTGAGTGCTTCTTATGGCATGATTATTGTAGTATCCTTCTGCTGTGAAATATTTCTGTTTGAGCTATAATAACCACTCTTGCAATTAGTCTCTCACTAGAATTTTCACCAAGTATTAGGGTTCAAATAATAAATCACCAGACAAGATGCTATATAGAAAAGGCACATGAAAACTTGAATTTTCAGACAAAAACTCAGAAAATAACTGAACTTAGAAACTCCAGCTTTAAAATACTAATCACATACCACTGGCACTAGACTATCATCAAAATGGTGGCTGAACAAGTGAGTTTGGTTGAGGAACATTTGGTGTCAGAGCTGTTCAGTGCTTCTTATTTGTGATATTAGACACCAAAAACTCAACGAAAGGAAATTATGATAAACCAAGCAGGAAATCAACTGTGCAGGCACAAATAAACTTGGTACCTGATTACTCTACAGGTTGCACTTAAAGATATCACATAGTTACACAGGATCAAGCAAACAATAAGGAAGCAGCCATAAGACTGGCTTCTATTGAATCAAAACTACTTCCTATTGGATTTAGGGCTACTTAGTTGTTCTTAAGTTGAACATTGATTAAACGCATTCTAATAGACGTGGAGGCATTCACATAGATGGATTTCTCACTCTATTAGTTCCAATTAAACAAGATGACAGATGCTATACTCTTTCTAGATGTTACAATCTTCTACCAAAAACAATGATGTTTAAAGACTTTATCTCATTCAAAGACTTAAATGAGAAAATAAATGTGATAACTTGATTTAAAATTCGGGTTTTGGAAGCATCTGTGCTAAACTTTAAAGAATATAATTCCTATTTCTTATTCACCAACTATCAAGAATATTTTTAATTCTTTCAGAAAAATAGAATTTAAATAACTTAAAACTCCAATGGAGAAAGAATTCCTATATTCCAAATATACTACTCGAAACTAATGGGATATACACTTAACAGGACTACCAATACTATTTGACCTTGCCACCATCAAGCGACCTCATTGTTGCTATTGCTTAAATGATTATGTTTTGTCCTCTTGATCTTCAGCGGCTGAGCCCCGGGTAACCTCCTTGCAATGATCACAAAACACAGGTTCCCCATCACGTCATGCCTAAACATCCAAATTGTAACAAAATCCTCATTCTTCCTCAGGCCATGATCATTTTGGAACCTTTTCCACCCATTGATCAGAACATAAATCTTGGACACCCAAATCTTAAACACCATTGGGTAGGCAGTGCCCCTATAATCAAATGTGGTAACAGGGATGCCCTTAACAAGGTCCTCCTCAGGTCCCAACAGTGGCTTCAGCAATTCTTCCACATGCATCTTCTTCATTGACAGCCTGTTTTGACTATCCTTCACATCAGTCTCTGTCAACTGCTTCTGAAAGGGCCTGCTGCATATTCTAATGAAGCCATGCAGGCTGGGTACAGGGGGAATATCAGGCGGGATATACCCGTCAACCGAGGAGGAAGAGGAGGATTCGCCTGCTGGGGACTGTTGGTTTCCCAGAATGATGTTATTTGCAGGGCTGGTGGTGGCTTCTGGGGTTATCTTCTCATTGGTTATTTGCAGGATTCGCCTGGTAATATTTTTTCTAATGGCTTCCAAATATTTGGTTTTATGTTCATCAAGAGCAGAAAGAGTTAGACTATCCAATTTTGTACGCTTGAGAATAGCAAGAGTCACGATGGCACCAATTTCATCTTCTGAATAGCGTTCCTTCCTCAAGACTTCCTCCATGATTGTTAGTTTTGAGGGGCCATGCTCTTTTTTGTCTTCTTTGGGTAGGGTAATGAGCGTAAAAAGAGACTACCCGCAGAATTCGTATATGGTAAGATTAGAGAAAGGAAATATAATTTATTAATAAGAGTTTTACGCTTAAATAAGTAGTAGTAGTAGTATAATTAGAAGGAAATTTCCTTCCTTCAAAGTTAATTTGGTTTGGAATTCACTTAAATCTGAGAGTTTGGCTCAGGCTAGGTCTCTCAACTATTGGCCTTTATAGAAAAAATTTCCTATTTTAACGTTACAAAAGAAAAAAAAAAGGAAAAAAATGCAGATATGAGTACAAGTAGTGGTGATACACTTAACCTCCTCGCCTTTGCCGTAGAATCTGTACTCTATCACATTCTTTACGCCGTTACAGTGTCGCCCTATTTCCTGCTTCGGTGGCAGCAGGAAGTCTTGTTTCGCCTCGTCCTCCTCCATCTCTCCCATTCTTTACGTCCTCCTCCATGATTTCTGCGAACCTTCGCTCTTAATTGATGGATTAATGGAGAGAACTAGGGCACGGAAGAGCTAGGGTTATGCCGTTCTCATCTGGGCCTATTACCTGCTCCGGTGACGGCTGAAAGTCCAGGTCTAGAGTGTCGTCTTCCCCCAGTTGTCCCCACCGCAAGTTCGGGTCCCGGGTGGCCGTCGCCGCCATGCTTTCTGCAAATAGTCGGTCTGCATCGATGGATTGATTGATAGTACGTAGCCGTGAGAGAACCAGGAATGGAGTTACGACTCCCAAGTGTGGCATCGAAAATGGGAGCGGATTATCCGGGAAAAACGTTGGGGTATGGTAGGCTAAATGAAACGTCGTCGTTTTATAGACATATATTATGATAGTACTTGATTATAACTACGATAATAAGCTCAATCACATACAAGCAACTATAATTTAAACCGGCCTTTTTTTTTTTTCAAAGAATTACTTTAATAACAACACAATGAATTATGAAAAAAGAAAAGGCAGGTAATCTGCAGGATTGACATATGCAGATTACAGATTTTCACCATGAAAATTTAAAATTGTCCAACAGAAAGATCATAACAGAAGAGAAAGTGGCAAGCAAAACAGATGAAAGTGATTCCAAATGGACAACTGAAAGACTGAAAATGAATTATATAGCCAAAGCAAAAAAGAGTAAAATCAACCAATTGAATTTCAATAACACTCATCAACCATCACCACCGTTGTCACCACCATCACCGCCGCCGCCAGTTCCCTCCATGGCAGCCACAACAGCAGCTGTGCCTACCACTGCAGCTGCGACCATGGGTGCATCATTGGTGGCAGTAGTACTCATGGCAGTCCCTTGGTTGGCTCCTACATTATCATTTTCAGCAACGCGTTGTTTGCTTTTATCAGATTTCTTCTGGGATTTTTCACTGCTGGAAGAATTTTCTGACTCCTCCTCCTCCTTCTCCTCTCCCTTTGCTTTTTTCCCCGCAGGAATACAGAAACATATGGTTTTCAACTTCATGGCTGGACCCAAATTAACACAGCAGAAACCTCACTGATCTTCCTTCACAATAAGCCTCTCCCAACTATAAGAGAATACCAAAAAGAATTGCAGAATTATTAGAAATCAAAATGGTTGCTTAGTCAACAAGCATTAACTCTTCCCACAAAACAAAATAGCTTATATTTTATGGGTTTAAATTGGCAGTATATAAGCCAATACTACCTCTTTTCACTATTAAAAAACATTGACCTCATCAATTAGTTGTAAAAAAGCCATAGCCAGTACATGTGCAGGAAACCAGATGCTTACAACAAAATCATTGAGCACAGCTAAGACATGTCCTGTCTCCTCGATGCGTACAAGGTTAAATGGAGAGAAGAAAAGGAAAAGGTTTAAGCAGTGTAAGGGTGGAGATTCCTTTTAAAGGAGAAAAAGTTGGTAAATTGACAGGAAAAAAAATTAATAGATTTTCTCTGCATTTTTTCTTGCGAAAATGGAATGAAATCATGGATATTCTATGGGTTTTTACACCCTATATGATGTTTTATAACAAATATAAATATTTACTCTAAAATGATTAGTCGTGTAAGCAGGATAGAGAATTGGCATGATTATTTACTCAAACTAAAGTAATCTTCAAAACATCTATTAATCCAATTGGACTGCATTATTATTATTGAATATAGTTGTACAGTCTGATCATTATGGAGCACGATATGAAATGTTTATTGTATATATGTGCGCCTATATATGAAATAATAAAATATGTGGGTCTTTATGGCATGCTTATTGCACCATTCTTTTGCCAAGAAATATGACATCTTCCCAGTTGGTTCTTCTGGTCCAAAATAAACCTACTGCACCAGTACTTGATCAACCAGTTGACTTTGTCTGTGGACCTTCCGGAGTTGTAAGATATTCAAGGATTCAACGTTGAATTGCTCCTCCTCACTGACACTTAGTAAGCCTTTAGAATAATATGTTTTCTTGCCACATACTTCTTTAAGAGAAAAACAGGAAACACTGGATGAACTTGAGATTCCTTAGGCAGCAGCAACCGGTATGCCATATCCCCAGTCTTCTTTACCACTTCAAACAGTTCATTGAATTTAGGAGAGGGCTTGAGCTCACAGCCAATGAGCAGCCTGTAGGGTTGAAGTTTGGGCAACACCAGCTCACCCTACATTAAACTCAGTGTTTATCGGCATATTGCTTACCTCTAGTTTGGACCTTTTGAAACTGCTCCTTAAGCATTCTACTCATTTGCCGTTTTTCTTCTAAAACTACCTTCAAGGAGGCTGAAGATGTCTCAATTTCAATAATTGTTGAAATGTAAGTGCAGATAACCATTGAATGCTTGGAAGGAAACATTTTGAGGCTAGAGTTAAAGTGGAGTTGTACCAGCAGTCTGCTAAGGTTGAGTCATTTCGACCACAAGGTTTTTTGAAGGCCATACAGCGCATGTAAGCTTCCACACTGGATGGATCTCCTTCGACTGAATGAGATGGCATATTGGTAGCTGGTAGAAATCATAAATCAATAAGTTCTGTCGCTGAATCACTGAATTGTTGAAGTCTCGTCCTCACCCATTCACCTGGACATCAGAAGAAGCTAGGCTATTGAATTGAATGAGTCAAAACAAGTAGCATTCATGAAGTGGATATGTAAAGAAGCATAATTTTCATCTCCTATATGGCTGGAAGGGGTAGTTTTTAAACTCTGAGCCGAAAGTTATTGATTCTTCATCAAGCTTCTTCTTCAATCTCCTCCAGGTTCTCAACATGTCAGATTGTATCAAGCCTCTATATAGTGTCTCAAAAGTAACTTTTTGGGGTAGAAAACCCCTCTCAATCATCTCTACAAAGTACTGGCAAGCCTCTCTCCACCTCTGCCTCTCACATAACCCGTGAATCAACAAGGTATAGGAATCCAAATCCGGTCCTGTGCCACTCACTTTCATATCACCCCATATCTCTTCTATAGCCTTCATTCTATCCAACTTCATTAACATACCTAACAATATATTGTACGTCTGCAAGCTTGGCACACACAAGGTGTCTTCTTTTAATTTCCTATACAAGTTCAAAGCACCATGGACGTCTTTCCTTCCCCTGTATTCCTTGAAAAAGCAATTGTAAGTCGTCGGGGAAGGACTGACACCATTCCTCACCATTTCCTCAAGCAATTCCTCCGCATCCTCGAGCCTCCCGCAAGAACAAAGACACTTAATAGCAGATGTATATGTTGCCACCGTGGGAGATATACCCTTCTCTTTCATCAACTTCAACTTATCAAGCGTCAACTGCGGCTTATGTCCCCTGCTATATACATGAAGGACAATGGAGAAACTAGTAACATCTGGCTCAATTCCTCTTTGACGCATTTGATCAAACATCTTCTCTGCATTCATTATCGTCCGCTCAAACCTCTCCTCGGGTTGCAACCTGGCCCTCCTGCAGACACCATTCAAGAGCACATTGTAGGTAACCACATTCGGCTCGATACCCTTCTCGATCATCTCCCTCAGGAACCTCTCTGCCATATCCATCCTCCTAATCTTGCACCACCCATCAATCAAAACGGTGTAAAGTTTACCATCAACTCCGAACTCGTACTTCCTCTTGTTGAAAACCTCGACAGCCACCTTCGCGTGTCCGTACTTACATAAAGTATCCAACAAGAAACAGAACTCGTTGATGCTGACCTTATCGTCGATGAAACATGGCATGTCATCGAACGCGCGCACGGCCTGCCGTGTGAGTCCGGCAGCGATCAACCTCCGAATAAGAATCAAGAAAGTGTGAGAGTTAGGCTGAATGTTGTTTTGGTCCATTTCCACTATTAGCTGCCAAACGACGTCGAACTGGCGGACCCGCCCGAGGATGTCGATGAGGAGGTTGTAGGAAGTGGCGGCGGCGGGGCGGAATGGCAGGGACTGAGAATAATGGAAGAAGGCAAGGGCAATTTTGGAAGAGTGACGGAGGCGGAGAAGGGTCTGGTGGAGAAGGTGAGTAGAGAGAGAGACCCCGTGGAGTTGCTGAGGAGATTCCATGAAGTGGAAAGGGTTGTGGTGGTTGAGGAGGATCTGCGAGAGCGAGTCGGCCTCGTTTGAAGGTTCCAGTTTGGGGAGGTCGAGGAGGATTCTGTCGGCTGCTACGGCGTCGTTATGGGCAGCGGAGAGGGACGATAAGACCCTGAGGCAACCGGAACGGAAGACGGAGGGCGTTTGGAAACTTCCGAGTAGCCTGGGCGCCATTGAATTTAATGTAATTTGCAGTCGCTGCTAGAGACAATATATATACATGCACACACACATATGAATATCCCCGTTACTCCCTGTGTAAGCTTATATAAAGATTATAAATATACACATCACACAGACATTCACTTTGGTACTTAAATTTACATAAAAATTATAAATTTATTAATTTTGGGGTAAAACACATTATTCCATCATGTACGATCTGGATTATCAGCCAAATAAATCGATTATTCAAATTCGGGAGTATAAACAACAACGGGACTCCTCACATTATGAATGCCATCAGACCAGACCAAAGATGCAGAAGCTCGTTCTGAGAATTCCATTAATTTTCCCGCCACGGTAACTTGGTAAGACTTTTTCTCATTCCGAGACTTGAACGTGAGAATTTCAGGCATCACTTCAATTCTACTCTTCGGATCCGGGGTAACATTCAACCTGTAAGTGGAGTTTTCAGGGCCAACATTTGTGACAGTTCGATGAAAAGTAACATTAAATTCCTGTCTTTTGTGAACTCTGAGGGCCATTGAAGGATAATTAAGATCTCTGGCCAAGAACTTTTCTCCACCTTTAAGACAGGTGCTATTGTCTCCTGTTATTTGTCTAAGTTTACTTCCATTATAGCCCATGCCACATAGCAACTCTATGTAGTCCCCTTTATTAGCAACATCATATACTAGTCCAGGATCTATGGCTTTTACGGGATTGATATGCCCGGATCCATAAGAAAATTCTCCGTATGGATTCTTCGAAGAATTCATCGACCAAGCTAAAGAGAAAAAAGAAAAATTTATTTGCTTGGTTAGCAAGAAACATTGATATTTGACTATGAAATCAGACAAAAAATAATCTTTGTTTCTTAGAGTACTTCAAAAACATATACAAGTTTGAAAACGTTACAAATATAATCAGTTTATTTTCAACTGTCATAAAAGTAATGAGCAAAAATTTAAACAAAACCAATTTTTTTTCAACTCGTTTGCAATCAATGAGTATCTTATTAATTTTGGTCTGATAGAAGATCACCAGTGGTCATCAGAGCAGACATTATGGCTGAAGGAGACCAGTCAGGATGAAATGATTTGACATAAGCAGCGGCACCAGCAGCATGGGGGCAAGACATGGAGGTTCCAGTCAATATACTGTACTTTACATGCCGATGATCAGTGGGGTCTCTAGCGGGTGAACCAAGAGGAGAATATGCAGCCAAGATATCCACTCCAGGAGCTGTTAAATCTGGCTGCATTGTATCAATCAACAATTGTTTCAGAACCATTAGAATTTTATAAAAAATTATGTCACTTAATAGAATTCCATCAGCATGTACCTATTGTACAAAATAATTTTTCGACATTGAATATAAAAAGGGTGAGGAATATTTACCTTCAAAACATCATGTACAATCAAATTAGGGCCACGTGCGGAGAAGAAAGCCACAAGAGGGGCATCTGAACTTTCAATTGTCTCGCTTTTTAATATTTCCGCAACAGGTTTCCTGCAAGATATCATACAAGAATGAAGCAAAGGAAGTAAATGTATATATTTATGTATATTCAATGGGAGTGAAGATATGTACATAGTGATGTATCCTTACTCTGTTGTGCTCACATAGGTAATGACATTGTCGAAGTCATCCGGGCTTAAATCTGATGTTGGTAAAATAGGAATTTGAGCAGTATAATTATCATGGTCTCTTTTAGTTATTGATCCCACGGCTGATTTTGCTCTCTCAACCAAGAAGTTTCCATAGAACCAATCACATAACACAATTTTTCCCTTCACCAAATCACTATCTACGCAATCGATAGAGCAAGACCTGAATTTCATTGAGGGCAAAATGCCTTTATTAGTGCAATTGACCAAGAAGGTCTCGTTTAAAAGTAAATATAACTTTCTGCATAGCTAGAACCTACTCCGTAAGATCCTTTGTGCACTTGGATGATCTCGTTATGTTTTCTCCGAATATCAACGGATACTTCACTCCACCTAGACTAAAAGCATTAATTGAAACCCCCTGTTCGCGTTGAGCCAGTCATTAGTATAGAAACCTCATCACTACACAAGTGAGCAATTATTCACATCAAGAGAAACCCATTATACGAAATAATTCTTTATATATAGATGGAAAAGATCTCTTGTTGAAGAAAAAATTTTTAGTGATACTTACTACTAATGTCTTGCCATTCCCAAGAACAACTTTGTCGATGAAAAACCGATCTGTGGTACTTGCTGCTACTGAAAGAATCCATGGAGATATAGCCGACACTGATCCATTAATGTAAGTAGAGATTGTATTTCCTGCTGCTTGCACGGTGAGAATTCCTTTCTGCATTGCATGGAAAGCACCAATTGAAACAGGTTCATACTCGAACGGGGCTGGATTTTGTAGTCCTAATGAAACTGATAAAATATCAACTCCATCAGCAATAGCATCATCAAAAGCTGCCAATACATTCTCTGAAGGACAATCGTGTTCATCACAAATATTATAGGCAGCAATTCTCGCAGAGGGAACGCCTCCTCTTGCAGTTCCTTGAGCCAGACCATAGAAACTTGCACCCTTTACTTTGTTTCCTGCAGCTGTAGAAGCAGTATGGGTTCCATGACCATCGAAATCTCTTGTAGAATCAATCTCTGCACCCGATGAATTATAGTATCGTGCTCCAATCAGCTTGCTGTATATACACATCAGTATGCAACACATAATGTTAGAAAGCTTTCAAGATTATGTGTATAGCATTTAGGCTGAGTTTTCTCAAAACTTTAGTTGTATGGAAAATGAACAAAAATTTTTGTATTTAGTTATGCATTAAACATTTAAGTCATGATTATATAGTAATAAAATGCACATTAATAAAAAATGACTTTATAGTGTTTGGGAAGATTACTTGTTGCAAGTGAAATTTTTGCCGCCAACACAAGCACCCTTCCACTTCTTCGGAGGAGGACCAAGACCTGGATCATTAAAGCTTTCCGATTCGGGCCAGACTCCGGTGTCAATAACACCAATTATAATATCACTCTCAGCACTGGCTTCGTGTTTTACGCTCTCGTTGAACCCCATGAAATCCCAAGATCTTGTTGTTTGGAGCTTATACATTCTACTGGGGAAAACTGAGACAACTCCTTCCCTTGCTGCATATTTAAAAGTTTAAAAATACATACACAAATATTTTGATCTTCCATTTAAACATATATTGAATTGATTAAATGGGACAGGTAAGCATGTTGCATCACTTACAAGCTAGCTTCTCTCTCTCATCATCAGTGATTCTTGCTGCAAATCCATTGAAACTCCTTTTGTAAGATCTAATTAACAAATTTTCTGCAGAACTGGTATAGAAGAATAATAAAAATGTTAGGATATAAATAATCGATTGTTCGATTTTCTGTTAGAGATAGAGATCTATAGTCCGAATTCCAGCTATATTTCGTCCATCTACATTGAATTTACTAGAGGATGAGGAGAATGAAAGAAAATAATGACTGGTCTGTAAATGTCACCTGCTCTCATCAACAACATCTTGTAGCATAGTAAGATGATGAGATGATGGTGAATACTCGCGGTCAGGAAGTGATCCCATGTACACAATATGGACCTGCATCATCATCAGCATCAATAGTAGTTTAAATAATATACATACAATATGTACATAAAACAAATGAATTATCAACATAAGTATGAAAAGGACAGATTTTTCTTACTTTTCTATCTCCGTTGTAACCATCACAGAGAAGGCTCAGGCTAAGCATGAGAACAGAGAGAAGGTAACAGAGTAAAAACCCATTCTTAGCCATTGTTGGTGAGTATGCAAGATGAGAAGATGTTAGCAGTACTTATACCAGGAATTTGTATTTTATTGAATTATTTCCATTTATATCTAATGCATCCCAGGAAATTAATTCACAGAATTTATAGATTTATTGCAAATTAAGGATAATAGCCTTACCATAAATAAGATTTTGCAGGTAAATCCAAAAATTCTGAATTTGGCTTCTCTTTACATAAAAAAGAATTAAGTTTTTATGATATGTTTTCTTTTAGGAAAAAAGAAAGTGCAGCTTCTTTTGCTAACACAAAGGTTTTCTCAGCTCTGATCAATATAAGGAAGAGAAATTATGTGTCCACTATTTTAACTTCTAAACTTGTGTAAATTTATGCTGCCAAGTGAGGCAGTTTTAAAATGAAAAGTTCCCAAGGAAGCAATACCTCATTTGGCCTTGTCCGGACTTTCTATAGATACATTTAGGAAGGAGAAAGTATAGATAAAAACTTAATTTTTTTCTTATTATGTTGTGTTCAAAATACAAAATGGTTTATAAAGAAAAGGAGATATATGCATATGATAAACCATTCATAAATATACTTACATGCACCTTAAAATTCATGTACCTATTTAAGTATATATGCATAAATGCACTTACATGCACTTTCAGATTCATGTACCTATTTAAATATATATGTATAAATGTACTTACATGCACCTTAAAATTAATGTAACTATTTAAACATATATGTACCTTAACATAAATGTGTAATAAGAAAAGTGTTAATACATTAACAACTTCAATCCCATGTTGGAAAATATGTAATTGTCGAGTTCTTTACTCTATGAGTGCCATCAGACCAGATAGAAGCTGCTGATATTCTTTCTGTAGTTTTCAATATATATATATATATATATATATATATTTAGGCAGAATAGAGAAAAGGTATCTCATTTTTTCTTCACAATATTATGACAATAAATAAAGCTTTAAGTTCAAAAACACATTATTGTAACAGATTGCAGCTTCCTACAGCGAAAAAAGTTTACTGATAAAGCACAATGGGTTCTAATTTGTATACACAACGATAGGACTCCTCACACTATGAGTGCCATCAGATCAGATCAAAGATGCAGACACTCTTTCTGAATGTTGTGACAGTTTTCCCTCGACAGTGACATTGAAAGACTGTTTCTAGTTTGAAGACTTAAATGAGAGTCTCAGGCATCACTTTGATGCTAATTTCTGGATTCTGGGTGATGTTTGCCTTGTAAGTGGAGTTTGCAGGGCCAACATTAGTAACAGTTCGATGAAACGTAATCGTGAAGTTCTTGTTTAGCTCGACCTTAACAGCCATTGAAGGATAATTAAGATCCCTAACTAATGATTTATCTCCTGATATCTGTTTAAGTTTACTCCCATTATAGCCCATGCCACAAAGCAATTTTATGTAGTCCCCTTTCATAGCATCATATACAAGTCCCGGGTCAACGGATTGTGCTGGACTGATATGCCCGGATCCAAAAGAAAATTCAGCATCTGAAAAATCTTTTGAAGAATTCATAGACCAAGCTACAAGGAAAACAAAGATTATCATTAAGAAAGTAAGAAACAAAAACCTATACAAACCATGAAATTTTAAAATAAAATTTATGTAATGGTGGGATTTGAAGTTGATTTACCAGTAGTCATAAGAGCCGATTTAATGGTTGCCGGAGACCAATCAGGGTGAAATGTTTTCACATAAGCAGCAGCCCCAGAAACATGGGGGCAAGACATGGAGGTTCCAGAGAATATCATGTATTTGACACGCTGCTTGTCAGCAAAGGTACTTGATAGTGAAGCGTTAAGAGAAAATGCTGCCAAGATACTCAACCCTGGAGCAGTTACATCTGGCTGCATTGCAATATTTCAGATTTTAGTAGCAAAAACTAGCAGCCTAACTACAAATTCCAATTTAGAGACTATGAGACATAAGTGGTTTAGGCTATGCACAAGATGTACCTTTATAGTGTCTGAAGTAATAGCATTAGGCTCATGCGAAGAAAATGAAGCGACAACACATGCCCTCAAATCTTTAATGCCCTCCGTTTTAAGTATTTCTGCCACATGATTCCTGTATAACGACACCAAAAAATGATTAATGTAAAGAGAAAAGCACAAAAGCTGGGAAACAAATATTAATGTATAAACAATGGATTTAGTCATTTTGTACGCTGTTGTTGTCATATAGTCCTTGACTGAATCATAGTCACTTTTCTTAAAACTGTTGTGGGGATAGGGTAAGCCATGAAGTAATAGGATCTTTGATTGTTGAATATTGATCCCGCAGCGCCAGCATATGTAGCTGCAGCACTTCCCATGGGTGCATTCCCTTCACCACATACTAGAATTTTTCCCTTTGCTTTGTCACTGTATTTACATGCTGGGTCACATTGCCTGAGATTAATCAAATAATCAAAATGCCTTATTAAATAATGTAACTTCACGAAAAAATCTATGAAGTTGGATTTTTTTTTTCTGCACAAGACCTACTTGCCAAGAATCCCAGAGCAGACACTTGTAACATTTTCTCCAAATATCAAAGGATACTTTTCCCCGTGGAGAGAAAATGAATTAAGAGAATCGCCTTGTTTTTGTAGACATAATCCCATTAGCACAAGAAATTTCTCAAAAGTTGATTACCTTAAATATGTAATGAGGGTAAGATATTTTATGACATCTACTACTAATGTCTTGCCATTCCCAAAAACAACCTTGTCAATGAACTTACGATCAATGCTGCTTGCTGCTACCAAAAAAAGCCATGCTGCTACACTTGCCGCGTTTTCGGTAAAAGGACCAGAATTTCCTGCTGCATTAACCGTGAGAATTCCATTGTCCATTGCATGGAAAGCACCAATAGCAATAGAATCTTCCTCAAACTTAACCCCAACTCTTTTTTCCAATGAAACCGATATGATGTCCACTCCATCCGTGATAGCATCATCGAAGGCAGCCAAGATTTGATCTGAATTACATGAATCTTCACAAACTTTATATGCAGCAATTTTTGCAGAGCGTAAAACCTCCTCTTGCAGTCCCCTGCGCCAACCCATAAAAACTTGCGTCCTTCACCTTATTTCCTGCCACTATGGAAGCAGTATGAGATCCTTGTCCAACATTTTCCCTAGCAGATGTAATTGTTATTTCCGAGGAATAGTACCGGGCTCCGATAAGCTTGCTGCAAGAAAAGTTATATAAAAGGGAAGTTAAAAAGCTAATAGATATATAAGGAAGCAACAGATTGGGAATATAGGAGTGAAATTACTTATTGCAAGTGAAATTTTCACCCCCTTTACAAGCACCCTTCCACTTCTCAGGAACAGAACCGAAACCTTTATCGCTAAAGCTTTCTGATTCAGGCCAGACCCCCGTGTCAAGTAAACCAACTATGATATCACTCTCAGCACTGGTATTACGATTCGTGGTCTCGTTGAGTCCTATGAAGTCCCAAGACCTTGTTGTTAGGAGATCATAAGTTGTACTTGGAAAAACTGAGACCACTTCTTTCATGGCTGCACACATCAAAGTTTAGACATACATTTTCTAACCCATGATTCAATCATATTTTGAACTTAAAGTAGAATAGATAAGCATTTTGCAGTTCTCGCCAGCTAGCTTTTGTTTCTCAGACTGAGTGATGTTGGCTACAATCCATTGAAACTCCTTTTGTAACTTCTGATCAATAAACTTTCTTCAAAGCTGGAAAAATAACGAGGTAGAGATTGCAGCAATGAAATAATTGATTATGACCACTCATCTTAAAAAAATTAAGCTAGCAGGAAAGATAAGCTTAAGCCGTTAAGTTAATATGTATACTAAAATTTCAAAATTTTTACCTGCCCTCAACAACATCTTGTAGCATAGTAAGATGGTGAGATGATGGCAAGTATTCGCAGTTAGGAAGCGATCCCATGTATACAATATGTACCCGCATCATCATCATCATCGCAGACAATAATCAAACCAATCAACATTCCTGTAGTGGAGTTGCATTTTTCGTTCTCTAAAATCTTAGCGAACAAATACTTATGAAATAAAGAATATTTACCTTTCTTTTCTCGTCACTGCTGCTACAAAATTTGGTCATGCTGAGTATGAGAACGGAGAGAAAGTAATAAAACAGTATAAGCTCATGTTTAGCGTTTGTTGTTGTAGTACTAGGACGCAATGAATGAGAGATTAATGAAAATATGTACTATGATATACATCGATTTGAATCTAGAAAATCCTAGGAAATTAATTTTTCATATCTCACAACCAGAGTAAGGTGAGATAACAATCCATAATAGTCTAACAAAATAGGAAAATCATTCACATGTTTGCAAGTATGGAAATCCAGCAAAACTAATTCTAAATTTGTGTACTGAAGACAATGTATTAGGATTGACATTATCCTGAATTGTAGCTTCTTGACACATGTACAAAAGAATGCCATATATATGTTGAAGAAAACATATATCATATCGCCGGATAAGAACACGGTTTGTTATCATCAATAACTTTTCATTGATTTTCAATTTCATCATTATTTTCTTTTTATTAGTAACCAGCTTATATAGAACCCGGAAAACAAACCTTGTTTGCAAAAAAAGGAGACAAATTTTAATTGTAAGAGTCAAAATATTGGGCTTCAGTCTTGAAGTTAGTTGACATATCAATCAATGGAATGATTTCAATCAGGTCAGACAGAAATAGAGGTAGCCATTTTCTGGAGCTAAGGGAGAGGCATGAAGATGATTGGAGAAGGATAGTCATTCCTGAAGGTTTCAAATCATTCCCAATAACAGTGATGTTGAAAGAAATTTTCTCATTCAAAGACTTGGAAGAGAAAGCTTGAGTCACCACTGTGATATTGACATGTTGGTTTGAGAAGATGGTAGCTCTGTAAACAGAGTTTTCACAGCCAACGTTTGTAACAGTTGGATGAAAAGTGATTGTAAATGGCTTTTCTGGTTTTTCAATAGTGGAAGCCATTGAAGGACAGTTTAGAATCCTTAACAAATGGCTCCTTCTCAGGTTGTGTATATTTTTATGAGATCCCCGCTCTATATATATATATTTTTTAATTTTTTATTGTTATATATATAAATATATTTATATAAATAAATAAATAAAAAATATCATATTAAAAATATAATTATATTTATATTAATATAATATAATTAGTATATGTTATTATACATATTAATAAATATATTTTAAACATTTTTAGTATACATATAATTATTATATTTTTATTAATATAATAAAATGAGTTAGTCAGATTCAGTTAAATAATAAATAAATTCGACACAATTCGAAGAAATAAAAAAATTCAAATCCGCTGGGACAGATTCGGGTTTAGCTTCCATTTCCTCACCGATTCAGATTGAATCACTGTCAACCCAACTGGAGGTGTTCTTGGAAGAAAGATACCAGAGGAGCAGACCGTTAAGAAAACAGTTGTTGGAGGCTCAAGATTGCATGAAACAAACAGAGAATTGAACAAGAATTTAAAGTGCAGGACCACTATATATATATATATATATATTTGAATTGTACTGTAACAAGTTACAACTAGACGAAGCAGTGAGATTGCTCATAGAAAAATATATTTTTGAAATCATAGTAAATGTGTAATTTAATTTTGTTAAATGCCATTAACATTATTACAGGTATAACAGGCGGACATGACAATGGGACTCCTCACTTGATGAGTGGAATCGGACCAGACCAAAGATCCAGATACTACTGGAGAATCCAATTTATTTCCAACGACTGTGACGTCGAATGACATTTTCTCATTCAAAGACTTGAAAGAGAGAACGTTAGGCTCGACTGTGATTTTAATATTTGCATTCGAGGAGATTGTTGCTTTGTAAACGGAATTTGCAAGGCCAACATTCGTGACAGTTCGGTGAAAAACAACCGTGAATGGTTTTCCTGGTTCAGTAATGTTGGTAGCCATTGAAGGGTAATTAAGATTCCTCACTAGTGAGGTATCAGCCCCGACAGGACAGGTGCTATCATCTCCTGATATTTTCTTGATCTCACTCGAATTATAGCCCAACCCACAAAGCACTTTTATGTAATCCTCTTTACTAGCTTCGTATACAAGCCCGGGATTAGCAGATTGTAAAGGATTGATATGTCCAGATCCATAAGCAAATTCGGCATCGGAAGTACTTGAAGGTTTCATTGGCAAGGCTACATGAAAATAAAAACTGTTACTTTGCAAGCAAGAAATATCAAATAATGAAAACGAAAATAAAAAATAAAAAATGATGTTAAGGGTGGGAAAGTTTTGTAACCTGTTGTCATAAGAGCAGAGTGGATGGCTGAAGGAGACCAATCAGGGTGCAATGCTTTGACATAAGCAGCAACTGCAGCGACATGGGGGCAAGCCATGGAGGTTCCCGACATCACGTTGTAGTCTACTCGCCGAGAATCTGATTTATCTTTTGTGAGGGGTGCTAGGGGAGAAAATGCAGCCAAGATGTCCACTCCTGGAGCTGATAAATCCGGCTACATTGCATCAAAGCTTTACATCAGCAAATGCTAGTGGTAAAACTTCAATTTTTGGGTCTGTTAATTAGGTACCTTTAAAATATCTGGTGCAATGGAATTTGGCCCACGCGAAGAAAAGTAAGCTACAATACGAGCATTTGAATCTTCGATGGTCTCACTTTTCAGTATTTCTGCTACAGGCTTGCTGTAAAATTTAGTGTAAGAATGACTTACTGAAAGAAACACTAGAACACGGAAAACAAGTATTGATATCCTACTCTGTTGTTTTAATGTATTCCTTGACTGTGTCATAGTCAACATCTACTAAAGCTGATACAGGTACTGGGAAAAGATTGGAACTAGCTTCAGAACTTTTCGCTTTAAGTAGTGATCCCAGACCTCCAGCGTCTTGAACAACAGAATATCCACCAATCTCATCACATAGCACAATTTTTCCCTTCACTAAGCCACTGTCTAAACATCCTACCAAGCATCGCCTGAAATTCACCAAGAATCAGAATCTATTTTACTTAAATGGTTTAACTAATTAATTATATTAAGAATTTAAAGTTTCAAGCTGAAATGATTTCTGAATAGCACCTACTCTGCAAGATCATCAGTGCAGCCTGAAGCAATAACACCTTTTCCATAGGCCAAGGGATATTTAACTCCATTTAAACTGAAAGTATTAACTGCCTTGCCCTGTTTGTGTTGAGTAAATTAATAAAACAAGTTGAGCATATTAAAAAATTTATAGTGTACAGCAAATCACATAGGTTAACAAGGAAGAGATCTCATGATACATACTACTAAAGTCTTGCCATTTCCGAGAACAACTTTATTGACGAAGGAACGATCAATGGTGCTTGCTGCAACAGAAAGAATCCATGGCGCTACACTTGCCACTAAAGTACTTGAAGGACCAGAATTTCCTGCAGACTGCACTGTAATAATTCCTTTCGCCATTGCATGAAAAGCGCCAATTGCGATAGGATCATTCACAAAATCTAGCCCAATTGCTGGAGCTATTGAAATTGTTATGACATCAACTCCATCAGCAATAGCATCATCGAAAGCAGCCAAAAGAGCTTCGGTGCCACACCCATTTTCTACACAAACTTTATAGGCAGCAATTCTTGCGAAAGGAACCCCTCCTATCGCAACTCCTTTTGCCATTCCAAAAAAACTTACATCACTTACTTCGTTTCCTGCTGCTGTAGAAGCAGTATGGGATCCATGACCATCAGTATCCCTTGCGGAGTCTGTAGTATAAAATCGCGCTCCAATAATCTTGCTGTAAATATGAATTAGAATTATAGATTGTTGACAGTTTGTTGCCAGAATAATTTCAAAATTTCCTACTTACTAATAATCAACTAAAACCCAGTAAATACTTAAAAGAACTAAATTTGAAATAGCTTATAGACCTGATTGCAAGTCTGTAATATACATATTTTCAGAAAGCGTAGGAGTGAAAAATTACTTGTTGCAAGTGAAATTTTTGCCACCATTACATGCACCCTTCCACTTCTTTGGTGCAGGACCAAAACCTTTATCATTAAAGCTTTTTGATTCAGGCCAGATTCCACTGTCAATAACACCAACTACAATATTGCCCTCAACTCTTGGATCATGAAGCTTGCGGGTATCGTTAAACCCCAAGAAGCCCCAGGATCTCGTTGTCTGGAGATGAAAAATTGTCCTTGGAAAAACTGAAACAACTCCTTCCATTGCTGCAGGTAAAAAAATTAATATAGTCTCATGATCTCGATTCAATCATGTGTCAAATTGTTTTGAAAGGAAAAGTACTCACCTTCAAGCTTCTGTTTCTCAGAATCAGTGATATTGGCTGCAAATCCATTGAAACTTCTTCCGTAACTTCTGACCAATAAATTTTCTTCGAAGCTGGGAAAAAACAGAGATGGATATTAGTAATAAGGTAAATTTTCTTGAAGAAAGTAAATGAAATAAGACAAACTGAGATCCATTGCTTTCACCTAGCCCCTATGACATCTTGAAGCATGGTAAAATGATGTGACGATGGTGAATACACGCGGTTAGGAAGTGATCCCATGTACACAATATGCACCTGAATCATCATCATCAGCATTATTAGTCCAAGATAAATGAGTTGATGTCAAAAAAGATCAGAAGACACTTACCTTTCTATCATTCGTGGCAGCCCAAGATAAGTTGATGCTGAGGATGACAGTAGATAGAAGGTAATAAAACAGGACAAAACCCTGCTTAGCCATTGTTGATTTTTCTGCAACAATAAGGTGACATGACTAGCTTTTTTATACCTTCAATCTGTTTTAGAGCTGTATTAGATTTTTTCATCCTATATTTCCATTTACCCGTTAAAGAATCTGAAAAAATTAATGTTTATTATTTCTCTATTGGTCCATGAATTTAAAAACTTCACATAATATTTAGATTGTATCTTAATTTTCTTTCCTGATAAGGTACTTAATACAAGGAACCTCATTTATGTCTGTTTAAATCCCATTGACCAATTTAGGAACTTGGCTTAAGTATACAGTGTATTAGAAGGAAGTACTGCTTGCATATTCAGCAAAATCAAGTAAGCTTTAATAATCATTATACAGTAAGTAATAAGGTTTAAAAAACTTTACATGTTTCAATGATATTCAGATATTATCTTAATTTTTCTTCCCCGATAGGGTACTTAATACAAGGGAAACTTATTTATGTCTGTTTAAATCCCATTGACAAAATTATGAACTTGGCTTATTAACTTCAAAAGTATACAGTGTATTTAGAAGGCAGTATTGCTTGCATATCGAGCAAAATCAAATAAGGTTTAATGATCATTATACAGTGCATAAAAGGAGAATTCAGAGCGATTTGTAAAACTCTCTTCTATTTTATAGTACAAGAGTCTACGAACAAAAAGAAAAAATTCAAGTAATTGACTGCACCTAATTAATTAAAAAATTATACCTAATTAATTAGTGAAATCAATCATTGGTTTTCTGCTATTAAATATCAACTATAATCTCAAGATTCCGATAATGATTTTGTTCCATTAAATGTCAATCATAATCCTTTAACATACGAGATTCCAACACCCCCTCAAGTTGGATTGTAGATATAGATCATATCCAACTTGTGAAGAACATTGTCAAAACTTCATCGAGGAAGATCTTTAGTGAGGATATCTATGATTTGCTCTTTGTTAGACACATGTCATGTAGATAATATCTTCTTCTACATTTTCTTTAATATAATGTCAATCTATTTCCACATGTTTGGTCCTATCATGTCTTACAGAATTGAGTGAAATATTGATGACAACTTTTTTGTTACAGTAGATTTTTATCGGTAATTTGGCTTCTACTTGCAACTCCAGTCCTTTACAAATTCTCTATGTCCGTACTCTAAATAACATTTCAGCACTACTTCTCGCCATCGTATTTTGTTTTTTACTCACCTATGTAACCAAGTTCCCTCAAATAAATGTAAAATATCCGATAATAAACCTTCTATTTTTTGTTAAACCTGCTCAATCTACATCTGTGAATACTTATATTACCATGATTTCACTCTTTTTAAAGAATAAACTCTTTTCTGAAGAGCTTTTGAGATATTTGAGAATCTTGTAGACAAGTACAGGTACCAAGAAAATGGTACTGCCAAAATTTTCTCCCTTATTTAATCGTCACAGAACTACCAAATAAACGAGAAAAAAACCATTACATATTCAGCTATTGGAGTTCAACTATGGAATGAGAATGTTATAATATTGAAAAAAAAAACTTTTTATTGACAATTTAACAATGCTACAAAGGCTTAAGTGTGAAAATTTGTTGTAACTGGCTGCAGCTTGATTAGCAATAAGATTGCTAATGAAAATAGAAAAATTCTAATCAGGAGCCAAATAAAACAATGGGACTCCTCACTTTATGACCGAAACCATCAGACCAGACCAAGGATTCGGACATTAATGCAGATTCCAAACTATTTCCGACAACAGTAACATTGAAAGACTTTTTCTCATTCAAAGACTTGAAAGAGAGAGCTTGAGGCACCACTGTTATATTAACATTTGGATTTGAGGAAGAAACGGTTGCTTTGTAAACGGAGTTTGCACGGCCAACATTTGTAACAATTCGATGAAAAGTGACTGTAAATGGCTCTTCTGTGCTTCTAATGCCAGAAGCCATTGAAGGATAGTTAAGATCCCTGACAAATGATTTCTCCTCAGGACAAGTGCTATTGTCTCCTGCTATCTGTCCAAGCTTTGAACCATAGCCCAAGTCGCAAAGCATTTGTACGTAATCATATTTATCAGCTTCGTATATAAGCCCAGGATCTGTAGATTGTAAAGGACTAATATGCCCAGATCCATAAGCTAATCCACCCTCCACATTTTTGGAACTTGTCATTTCCCAGGCTACAAGAAAAAGGAAAAGGATTGTTAGTTTGGCCAGCAAGAAACATCAAATCCTGAAATTTTTACAAAGAAAAAGTTGATGTTTTGAATGAGGAAGTTAGGAGATAAAAGAAAACCAGTTGTCATTAAAGCAGATTTGATGGCTGAAGGAGACCAATCAGGGTGGGATGCCTTAACATAAGCAGCAAGTCCAGAAGCATGGGGGCAAGACATGGAGGTGCCGGATAATAGATTGTAATTTACACGGCGATTATCCAAAGGATCACCTGAGGGTGAAGCAAGAGGTGAAAAAGCAGCCAAGATATTTACCCCTGGGGCTGTTAAATCTGGCTGCATTGCATCAAAGTTCAAATCAATAGAACTCCAATATAGAAGAATGAAGATATGAGAGCTCTGAGAGGCATTGCCTATGGCAGTAGCTACCTTCAAAATTTCTTCGATAAGAAGATTCGGGCCACGCGAAGAAAAGACAGCCACAACAGGAGCATTTGTATCTTCTCTAGTCTCACTTTTCATTATTTCTGCCACAGGGCTGTAAAATATGTTACATGAATGACTTATCTGAAGGAAAGCTAGAAGAAAGTACAGTAAATGGGAAGCTGTATTGCTTTTCGTACTCTGTTGTTTTAAGGTACGACTTGACAGTATCGTACTCATCAGGCTCTAAAGCAGATGTTGGCAAGGAGTAAATGAAAGAAATATTCTCTGAAATTATTGTGTCTCTAAGTACAGACCCCAAGCCTCCAGCTTTATGAACAACGGAAAATCCCTTCTTCTGATCACAGACAACAATTTTTCCCTTAACTAAATTATTATCCAGACATCCTTTGCTGCACAGCCTGAAATTCACCAGAATTTAAAAGTTTCTTACTTCATCAGCATACTGAGAAAAACAACAAGCTGTCAATTTGAAATGATTTATCTGAATTGTACCTACCCTGCAGTCTCAGGGGTGCAGGTCGTCGTGACATCTTTTCCATAGATCAAAGGATATTTTTCTCCTTTTAGACTAAATGAATTAATTGATTTTCCCTGTTTGTAGTGAGCTAATCATAAACATAAAGAAGCCAAATATTTAAGAAGTTGTACTATTTGCAGAAATAAGGAAGAGATTTCTTGATATATACCACTAAAGTCTTTCCATTTCCAAGAACAACTTTGTCGATGAAGGCACGATCAATGGTGCTTGCTGCAACAGTCAGAATCCATGGTGCTGTGCTTACCACTGTAAAACGGCCAGAACCAGTATTCCCTGCAGACTGCACAGTCAAAATTCCATTTGCCATTGCATGAAAAGCACCAATGGCAATAGGATCTTCAATCACTTCACTTGGAAGTGATGGTCCCACTGAAATTGATATGACATCAACTCCATCAGCAATAGCATCATCAAAAGCTGCCAAGATTGCCTGTGAACTACACCCACTTTCACCACAAGCTTTATATGCGGCAATCCTGGCAAAGGGAACCCCTCCTGTTGCAGTACCTTCAGCCAGCCCATAAAAACTTATATTCTTTACTGTGTTTCCTGCTGCTGTAGATGCAGTATGAGATCCGTGACCGTCAGTATCTCTTGCAGAGTCTGAAGCATAATATCGTGCTCCAATAAGCTTGCTGTAAGGTACGTATTAGTATTTCAACCTTTCAAAAATCAGTTAAATTACTTCAGAAAATATAGGAGTCAAACTCACTTGTTGCAAGTGAAGTTGCTTCCACCTTTACATTCACCCCTCCACTTCTTTGGAGCTGGACCAAGATCTCCATCACTGAAGCTTTGTGATTCAGGCCAGATTCCACTGTCAATAATACCAACGATAACCTCACTCTCCTTTTTTAGATCGTGGAGCTTCTGATCAGTAGTCTCGTCGAACCCCATGAAGCCCCAAGATCTTGTTGTGTGTAACTGATAAATTCTGCTTGGAAAAACTGAGACTACTCCTTTCATCGCTGTGAAGATCAAAGTTTAAATATAAATCTTATACAGAATGCCATCATCCATGATTCAATCATGTTTTTAAATTTTCTTAGACAGAAAGGCATTTGCAACACTCACCGACCAGCTTCTTTCTCTCAGAAGCAGTGATCATGGCTGAAAATCCATTGAAACTCCTCCTGTAACTTCCAATCAATAGATTTTCTTCAAAGCTAGCAAAAGATAGAAAAACATTAGAACATCTAAATTTAAAAAAAGTAAAAAAGAAATAACTAGAGTAAGATTGTAATCCAAAATAAAATGATTTTAAGAAGAATGGCTAAACAATCACACAAACCATTACAAATTCTCATGTTTGATTGATGTAGTATTACATTCCTACCACCCCCACCCCGCCCCACACAGAGTGTACATAAGTAGACAAGCGCAGATAGATCCAAACCACGAAGTAGATAAGCGCAGATGCCATGTCAAGTTCTAACCCAGAATTATATGATACTGGATATAGTCACCCAACATATGTGTGTGTGTATATATATAGATGATTATGAATATGCAAGAAGTAAGATTCAAGGATTTCACCTGGCCCCAACAACATCTTGGAGCATGGTAACATGGTGAGCTGCTGGAAAGTACTGGCCCTTAGGAAGTGATCCCATGTACACGATATAGGCCTAAATCATCATCATCACCACCACCATCAATAGTAGTCTAAGTAATCTCTCAGGTCATTTGTTATCAAAAAAGGTCAAAAAAAAAAAAAAAATTCATACACACTCACCTTTCTCTCCTCATTGTTGGCACCATAAGATAGGCTCATACAGAGAATTAGAAGAGAGACAACATAGAGAAACAGGACAAACTCTACCTTAGCCATTGTAAATGTTGATTGTGCAAAAGTGTAGTGATTTGTTGGTATTTATTTTATCTTCATGATTAATGTGTTTCCTTTTTCTAATGATTCATCCAACACGAACACTTTAATTTAAAGATCTTACGCTGTTGTACAAGGAAAAAACTTGCTTAATATTATTTCAATTGAGTTATTGTTTGAGATCATAAGGAAAAACTTAATTAATAAAGTTCTTTGAGATCATCATCCTCAGCAATATTAGTCCAAAGTAAGATAACTTGATGTCAACAAAAATCTTTAGATACTTTAACTTCCTATCCTCATTAGTGGCACGGCAAGATAGATTGATTCTGAGTATGATAACAGAGAGAAGGTATGAAACAGGACAAAACCTTTCTTAACCATTGTTGATTTTTCTGCAACAATGGGTGATACAAATGGTTTTCTAATACCATTAATATGTTTTTAAGTTGCATTAATTTGTTTTATTTTCTATTTCCATTTAATCCTCTAAGGATCTGGAACAATTAATTTTTTTTCCATTGTTATTGGTTCATGAATTGAGAAATTTCACAATTTTTAATGATATTAAGATGTTACCTTAGACTGCAAATGATCTTTTCCTTCCCTGATAGGCTGCAATCTATATAATACAGGGAAAAAATATTTATGTCTGTTTAAAACCTTCTAAGAAAATTATGAAGTTGGCTTAAGTTTAGAAGGAAATGCTTCAGGCATATCCAGCAAAATCAAATAAGGTTTAATAATAATCAATATACAGTGCACAAAAGGAGAATTGTCAGCGGTTTTTAAGGTCTGCTAACGGCAGTTAATTTGAAAACTGTAGCTGCAGTTTCTAAATTGCCACTAAACCGACGCTACAAAAAATTTGTTGGAAAAAAATCAATTGAACAGTTTAGATACTGCCGCTGTTTTTATAGAGTGACTGCAGTCTTTCAGTATTTTAGCGTGAGTAATGAAACTTCTCCTAGTTGAAACACTTGGTTGTAAGTCCCCAGCCCAAGAACCATTAGTTCACAATTTCTTGGGCCTAAAAATATTAGTATTAAAAGTTTAAACTCAAATTATTGGTAATATGTGATATCAGACTTCATATGCAGCTCGATAATCACGTATCATATCTTTGTGAGGTAGAGTTAGAGTATTGCAATCTCCAGTACTGAAATCTTTTTTTTTTTTTGGTATAAAGGGAGAAGAAGTACAATAAAACCAAACCAAAACGTCTAAGATTGTACATCTTAGGCCAAGAGACTTTGATGAGATCCTCTCTAATAATATTCATTAATTCCATAGGAGGATGTTGTATGTGATGGAGGCCACCGGTCAAAAGTAAGATTTGCTAGGTAGTTTGCATACCGATTACCTTTACGGTAGACATGTTATATCTTGACAGTTCAGTTTTTCATGAGCCAAACTTTGATAACTAAGATAAGATTAGAGTTCGCATTAACCGAGATCATTTCATTGTTAAAAACTTTGTTAAGGATCTGGACGGCAAATGCATTATCCATCTCAAGGATAACTTGGCGTGAGCCCAAATTCCAAACTAATTCGAGACCATCCAGGGCTTTCCACTGTTCCGCCTGGAGAATAGAGCAAACATCAATATTCCTGAGGTGCCCCCTAAGCCACTGACCATTACAATCCCTACCCAACGCACGAGAATAAGCAGTGTTGTTGCTAACACGGAGGGCCCCATCTGTGTTGATCTTAATCCATTCCTGGGGTAGTGGAGCCCAACTGACGAGCTTCTCCTATTTCTCAACAACATGGCCAGAGATGGTAGACTCGATACTAGAGGCTTGAACACCTCCTGTTTTAACTCCTCCAAGCTAAGAAGATTCCCACCAAATATGAAGGCATTACGTTGTTTCCAAAGCAACCAGCAAGCAATGCCAAAGATAATCTTCCAGTCCTGAAATGACGAACACCAATTACGATTGTTCTGCAGGTTAGCACAAACCCAGTCATTGAGCGGAGTGTTGAAGAAGCTATAGACAGCTATCTGTGGAATAATCTTCTGCCAAAGGTTCTTCGCCTGGTGACACTCCCTCAAAACGTGATTCAAGTCCTCGATGTCAAGGCCACAGAAAGTGCAAATCGGATCATCAGCCATATGCCTGCAGACCCGCTCCTCGCTGGTAAGCAAGCCTTTCCGCAAGACTATCCAAAAGAAATGTCGAAAACGTTGGACGTCCGACCACTTCCAAGCTACGTTCCACCTGTTATCTGCAAAAAGAGAAGATATGTCAGTAATCATATTATAAGTAAATTTAACAGAAAACTTACCATCTGGCGAGAGGCCCCAATAAGGGACATTCACCTCCATCCCGTCCTGTGGGACACTGACTGCAGCCAGCTACAGGAGAACCCTAGTCGGAAGCATGCTCTGCAGATGATTCCAGTACTGAAATCTTTAATATTCTTATCAAGGGTGCATATTACAATCAGTATCCACAAAGTCCAACATTGCACCAAATTCGAGTCAACAAGCTAGCAAACCCAAAGCCCGAGAATTATTGATCAAATAATTTTTTGGAATCAAATTATTGGCACTCAAAAGTTTTAATTCAAATTATAGGTAGTTTACAACAATATCCCTTAATTACTGGTTTTTAATTATCACATATCATTTCTTTCCAATGCGAGCTGGAGTACTAAAACTACAGAGCTCAAAATGTTTAGTTGCTAAAAATTTAGGCTAAGAAAAAAGATCGCACCATAAAACACCAATAACCTTGAAAGAACAAATTAACAAAGAGAAAAAGATTTACATAACTGCAAAGATTTATGCTAAAAATGGAGTGAGAAATTATATGGAAAAGAAAAATAAAGAACTTTTTGACTAACAATTTAAGAATATTACATGGTGAGAATTTATTGTAACAGGTTGCAGCTTGATAGGCAATAAACGGTTAATGAAACTAGAAATATTCTAATCATTACCGGGAGTACAGAACAATGGGACTCCTCACTTTATGACCGAAATCATCAGACCAGACCAGAGATTCAGACACTGGATATTTCAAATTATTTCCTATGACAGTAACTTCAAAAGACTTTTTCTCATTCAAAGACTTGAAAGAGAGAGCTTGAGGCACCACTGTTATATTAACATTTGGATTTGAGGAGATGGTTGCTTTGTAAACGGAGTTTGCATGGCCAACATTTGTAACAGTTCGATGAAAGGTAATCGTAAATGGCTCTTTCGGTTTGATAATCCTGGAAGCCATTGAAGGATAGTTAAGATCCCTAGCAAATGATTTCTTCTCAGGACAAGTGCTATTCCCCCCTGCTATTTGTCCGAGCCTCGAACCATAGCCCAGGTCGCAAAGCATTTGTATGTAATCCTGTTGACCAGTTTCATAAACAAGCCCGGGATCTGCAGATTGTAATGGACTGATATGACCAGATCCGTACGCAAGCTCAGCATCTGCGTTTTTGGTAGGTGTCATTTGCCAGGCTACAAGAAAAAAGGAAAAGACTTGTTAGTTTGGCCACTAAAAAACGTCAAATCCTGAAATTTACAAAGAATAATGTAGTTCTGTAGATTGGAAAGTTAAGAAATAGAAGAAAACCAGTTGTCATTAAAGCAGATTTGATGGCTGAAGGAGACCAATCAGGGTGAAAGGCTTTCACATAAGCAGCAGCTCCAGAAGTATGGGGGCAAGACATGGAAGTGCCAGATAATAGATTGTAATTTACACGACGATTATCTGAAGGATCAAGAGAGGGTGAAGCAAGAGGTGAAAAAGCAGCTAAGATATTTACCCCTGGAGCAGTTAAATCTGGCTGCATTGCATCAAAGCTTGAAATCAGTAAAACTCCAATATAGAAGAATGATGATATGAGAAATCTGAGAGGTATAGACTATAGATGGTAACTACCTTTAAAATGTCTTCAGTAATTAAACTTGGCCCACGTGAAGAAAAGTAAGCCACAACAGGAGCATTTGTATCTTCTCTGGTCTCACTTTTCAGTATTTCTGCTACAGGGCTGTAAAATATGGTTCAAGAATGACTTATCTGAAGGAAAGCTAGAAAGTAAATACATAAATGGCAAGCAGTGTTGCTATCCATACCCGGTTGTTTGAATATATGACATGACTGTTTGGTAGTCATTGGGTCCTAAAGCTGATGCTGGCAAAGAGAAAACCGAAGTAACATTCTCAGATACTATCGTGTCTCTAAGAACTGCCCCCGCACCTCCAGATTTATGAACAACAGCAAATCCCTTCTTCAGATCACAGACAACAATTTTTCCCTTAACTAAATTACTATCTACACATCCTTCATTGCATATCCTGAAATTCATCAGAAGTTAAAATTTCATATTTTATTAGCGTACTAATAGCAATCAATTAGCCCTGAAGTTTAAATGGTTTCACTAAATACCTACCCTGCAGACTCAGGAGGGCAGTGCGAACTGACATCTTTTCCATAGATCAAAGGATATTTTCCTCCTTTTAGACTAAAAGAATTAATTGATTTTCCCTGTTTTAGTAAGCCTATCATTAATACAAGGAAGCTGAAAACAAATAAAAGGTAGAGTTTATAGAAAATCATTAAGGAAGAGAATTATTGATACATACAGTTAAAGTCTTTCCATTTCCAAGAATAACTTTGTCAATAAATGCACGATCAATGGTGCTTGCTGCAACAGTAAGAACCCATGGTGCTGTGCTAGCCACTGAAGAATTGTCTGGACCAGAATTTCCTGCTGACTGTACTGTCAAAATTCCATTTACCATTGCGTGAAAAGCACCAATGGAGATAGGATCTGCGGTCAGGT